GGGGGGGGGGGGGGGGGGGGGGGGGTACATATATAGCAGTTAATTGATGGCATATGTCGATGTCATAGGTATGTAAGATTTTCTGGACTTTGATCTTTTTATCCTGTGACTTCCCTCCGGTATTCCATTGAAGGATCTGTATAAGTTGTGATTCGCCCTGACGAGGGCGATTTCTCTTATAGCTTCGTTTCAAGCTAATTATAATAAATTGAAGTCAAATGCCGAGTAATAGACTTTTTGCCGTATGAATATACATTGTCCAGGGTGCATCATGTGGAGGTAAGTCTAACGTGCACCCCCATTAGCAGTAATATTAGAAATTCCTTCAACTTCATGACCTCAACGAACAGAGCCCATTTATAACTCTAACAAAAATCCAAAAACTAAGATACTTATTAAAGAAATATTAAAGGGAAAAGTTCGCATATAAAAACCCTTGCTCGTGCATATTTACTAACAAATATATTTCTAAATCAAATATAACACAGAATCTAATAAAGAAATAATAAAATCTAAAACATTTAAGCCTTTTTGCGTATTGCTACACTAATAAGCTTTGAATGTACTCAGAAATCTCCATGGCAGATTCTCCTATGTTTGGAAAGACTCCCAGAGCTAGCTAAGCTACCGCAAAACTCTAGGGCAAACAGACGTATCACGTGAACCACGTTTATTTGGGATGTGTGGTGTGCGTACAGACAGGGAGCTTCATCGTCATATTAATATGACGTATTTGATGATTGGCGGCTGACCGTGTGTTCTTCCCACTCACTACCTTGAAGTTGTTCGGCTGTACCTTCCAGTCTGTCTGAGTGCGCATGAGGTTACTTTGTCTAGAGGTGACAACGTTGTGTACTTCACAAGTCAACAAGATTTTCTACATTTGCCTCAAAGTTGGTATTAATTAGGCCAAATTCACAAAATAGAAAGCAGTCACTTTCTGTATGAAAACAACTAAAACCCAATTTGCATGTTTCCTTCTCTTCAGACTTAATAAAATAAACAAGACTCGATGGCACTTGGTCAGTCTCATCCAGATTCAAAGGATGTTCTAATATTAGGAGAATAATTTTTGCTAAGACAGAAACCACAAAACCTAAATATTCGCATCATTCTTACCATTTACATCCCTCTCACCTCCCAATACTCAGGCTCATCATAGAGGAGAACTTGGGTAAATTTAGGAGGCATGATTTGGATAGTCAATGTGCAGATTGGAAGTCGGAATAGTTGGATTCCTAGAATTTTATAGAATTCACAATTCAATTTTATAAGAGAGAAATTCATAGGAAGGAAAGTTGGAAGACATTTTGTATAATTATAGCATCTTACAATTTATCATTGCTGCGTGCAGAAGTATAGTTTAACGTTATTTCTAATATTAGCTTATTTTTACTTGCACGGCAAATGCAAACCTGGAATTAGGTTATTTTAAAAATTAATAATAGTAATAGTCGAGGGAGTCAAGTCGAACTACGAAGAACTTTGAACGATAAAATTAATTTGTGTAAATTAAAAGCACTGGACATAGGAATAATTAAACATGACGAAATTACGTGGTTTTTTTTCAATTGAAAATTAAATTTGTGAAAATTGAGTTCACCCACCACTTCATATTGAAGGATGCAATTTGGTAAAAATTGCATACAATAAAAGTTAGCTGAAGTATTATGGCTTCTAATTCCCATAGGATTAATTACATTTGACTTGACAAACTGATCTTAATTTATCAGTAACAGATCATGCACCAATAGAAGTTAGAGGAATCAGAGATAGATGATGGATTTCCACTCTAGTGTGTGAGGCTATCGGAACATATTGCGAAGTGTGTCAAAACATCCTCCAAGCTCGAACAAAGGAGAAACAGTGGACAGTGGCACTCTCCCGATCAGAAGAGAATTCAAGATCTCAAGGTGCAACGAACTTAAACAACAAAAGAGAAACAGTGGACAGTGGCACTCTCCGACATAGCCGACTAGCCAAGAATCAGAAACAGTGGACAGTGGCACTCTTCGATATAGCAAAGGAGAAACAGTGGACAGTGGCACTCTCCGATATAGCCCCAAAGGAGAAATAGTGGACAGTGGCACTCTCCGACATACCCGGCTGGGCCAAGAATCAGAAACAGTGGACAGTGGCACTCTTCGATATAGCTAGGAGAAATAGTGGACAGTGGCACTCTCCGACATACCCGGCTTTCCAGACCTCAAGGTTCAACGAACTCAAAGCTCGAACAACAGAGAAACAGTGGACAGTGGCACTCTCCGACATAGCCGACTAGCCAAGAATCGACCTCAAGGTTCAACGAACTCAAGAACAAAGGGGAAACAGTGGACAGTGGCACTCTCCGATTAGAGGAGAAATAGTGGACAGTGGCACTCTCCGACATACCCGGCGGCGAGAATCGAAGCCGTTGCTGAGTTTAGACTACGTATCGGACAGAGCCGGTTTAGACTACGTACCGGACACGATTGCCCCGTTGATGAGTTTAGACTACGTACCGAACACGATTGCCTATAAACACTTTCACAGACTGGGAGTATACACTCAACCCACATGCCCTCTGGATTGGGAGTATACACTCAACCCACATGCCCCCTATGTAGCCTTGGGAGTATACACTCAACCCACATGCCCCCTATGTAACCTTCAAGAGGAAATGGAGAAGACCCACCTGATTCGGTGTCCCGGGAGTATACACTCAACCCACATGCCCTCTATGTAACGTAGGTATACACTCAACCCACATGCCCTCTATGTAACCTACATTTGAGAAGACCCACCTGATTCGGTGTCCAGCCCTAAAGACACAGAAGACCCACCTGATTCGGTGTCCAGCCCTAAAGACAGGAAGACCCACCTGATTCGGTGTCCAGCCCTAAAGACAAGGAGAAGACCCACCTGATTCGGTGTCCAGCCCTAAAGACAAGGAAACCCACATGCCCTCTATGTAACCTACAGGAGGAAATGGTATCATGCCCCCTATGTAACCTGCAGGAGGAAATGGAGAAGACGCACCTTACTCGGTAACCTACGTATACACTCAACCCACATGCCCTCTATGTAACCTACATTTGAGAAGACCCACCTGATTCGGTGTCCAGCCCTAAAGACACAGAAGACCCACCTGATTCGGTGTCCAGCCCTAAAGACAGGAAGACCCACCTGATTCGGTGTCCAGCCCTAAAGACAAGGCGGAAAGCCAGAGATACTGGGAAGCAAGAAGACAGCTAATAAACTACTATTAATTAACTGCTATATAT